AGTGCTAGCGACGGAACCTATTGCTTCATCTGACATTTTGCAGTACACTCAGCTCCACTGAGAGAAAAAGAAATGGATTGGATTAGAATTGATTTAAAAAAGGAAATGCAATAACTCAAAGTGAGATCAATGACATTAGTCTACCGTTGTATGCCTTTTCATTCACTGACGTGAATGCTCTCCTCTACAGTTTTTAGAATTAGCAAATATGTAGAAGTGCTCCATCAATTCTACTGGATACTGACGCTGGTGACGTAGACTTGAGTGGTGCACTCTCGCAAATGGACGAAGTTTAAAACAAACACATCGTCATCTACACAAGTGCCAAGACTAAGAAGCAAGTGAGAAAAAATGTGGGACATAATCCGAATTCTTCAACTTTATCACAATGGTCAAACATTCCAGACATTACCTGATGGAGAGAAGCTTCATAGTGAAAGTGGATCATCATCAACTCTGGCTGACATGGCTTAAAACAACAGCCTTGCAGCGATCGCACCAATTCGATCCATGCCTGCAGGTTTATGGGAGAGTGGGTGGGCGTGGGTCCTTTGCAGGCTATAGAACGGAGGAAATGGTGCATATATTTTATCATGGTAGTCTACATAACGAGGACAGAAAATTCCGAATCGATTGATTAGTAACTTAGAATCAACCTTTCATAACTGTAATTGACTAATAAATGCGCACCAAATTGTGCAATTTTTTACAATTAGTAACAATTTATATTTTGGCGCGTAGAATATTTGCTGAAGCGGTTAGACAGCAAGCTGGGTTCATCCGCTGAGATGATCCCAATGCAGTCAATACAGCCATGGCAGAACAGACACTTAAATATTCTATTTCAATTTTTACACAGATAACGTCTTAGGTCTTATTAATTAATAAGTAAACTGAACAAAACCAAAATAATTTGCAAAATACACAATTAATTATAACAAAATCTTGGTTACTAATTAAGTAAATAGACAGTAATAGCAGCACTTTTTAAATGTGGGTTCGGCTTTTGGTGTCATTAAAAGAACGATATTAAAACAGGTGCCCAAGTAGATTCATGGAATCGAGTTCGCCTTGATTAGGATGGGAGGCAATGTAATGCCCATTTTACTTATCTGCACCCTCATTACTCCTATTATCTGGACAATACTTCTCTAATGTTTATTTGTTATTATAATTTCTCACTTATTACTGGACCTTCTGATAACCTACGGCCTAATAGGGTACACATTTAGGTAACGGAAATGTGATGAGTGTGGATGCTTTAGCTTTCGGCGTTAAAATGGTTTATTCAAAAGGAACGTATGTAGAAGTGCGGAAACAGGCTGTATTCACCTTCCTACCTTTAAAAAGATCAGAAAAATGAAGAAAAATGAAAAAGAAAAAAGAAAGAGCAGCATTCTCTAGTGCTGTTGAAACAAGAGAAGAGACTCAGGTTAGTGCCAGGAGTGGGCTTGTGTGGCATAAGAAGAGGTATTTACAACTACCACCATCAATTTACTCCTCCCAGTTGATATCGTAGCTCCCCTCGTTTGGAATTTGCGGTTCCTCGCGCTTGGCGCTATATTAGGAGAGAGCGAGAGAGAAGGAGGACGAGAGAAAGGGCGAGAAAAATAGGCACGGGAAGAGAGATTGATGGAGCATAAAGAATGC